CGCCGCAGGGGGGTGGGGGGCGGGCAGGCAGCAGCCCGGGGAGGGGAGTGCGTAGCGGGGATCCGCCGGCACACGCCGCCCCTGGCAGGCGGCCTGAACGCGCGCCGGGAGCCGCCGCCGCCGCCGCCACCACCTCTCGGGGTCGCCTCAAGCCCCAGATTCCCGAGCGCCCGGCTCTCATGGCAGCCGCCTGGGCCCCCGTCCTCGCGGCTCGCTAGGGGCGGCCCCGCACCCCAGCTTGGCCCCGCGGCGGAGTCCGTCGGATCCGGCCTCGCTCTGCGCCCCGCGCGCGCCGCTTCCCAGCCGGAGGTGAGCACCGCGAGGGCAGGGACGCGTAGGACGATGGGCGCTCGGGGACTCCAGGCCCGGCGCCGCTGCCGAGCCGAGCGTGGCCGAGATGGGAAGGGGACGTGGGAGCTAGTCCTGGTTGAAGTCCAGGGTGGGATCGGACACCGCTCGCTGCCGGGAACGCAGTCTGTGCCCTCAAGGCCGCCCAGGGCACTGTCCCTTCCCCGTGGGCTCCTCCGTTCTGCTGCGTTCCCAGCTCCAGCCCTCCGCGCGCCCTGACCTGACTCCACGCTGCCCATCCCTCACCTCTTCTCCCACAGAGCCCGATCCCGGGTCCTGTCCCCCAAACCCTTGCAGCCTCAACCCTTCACCCCGCCCCAGCCTTCCCGCTGCCCCCACTCCTTTCTTCTGTCTGGGCGTCCCTCTCCCCCTCCTTATCACTCCTCGGAATCTCAATCCGTGCAGCTGTATCTGTTGTCCGACCGCCTCCCAGCCTGTGCTGTCCCACAGGTGTCCGCACGTCCGGCCGTCCACCCGTCCTTCCTTCTTGGGGCCGGCACTGACCATGCCCAGCGGCTGCCACTGCCTACATCTCATGTGCCTGTTGTGCATCCTGGGGGCACTGGTTCAGCCTGCCATAGGTGAGTGCACCCCCCCCCCCCAACCCCCGCTCAGGTCGCTGCCCTCTCCCGGTGTCCCTTGCTTGAACGTTGGCCTCTGTCGGCTGGAGACAGCACTGCAGCCGATCGGACCCGAGAGGCTGCCGAAACCCAGGTCTCCCTTTGGAATGGAATGAGTCTCTTTTGCATTGCCCCAGAGCTGAACCCACCCAATTACTGGAACCCCGCATCCTCTCCCGAGCCTGCATCTCAGGGACCCAACCCGGACGGCTCACCCCTCCCACATCAATCTCTTGCAGCCGATGACTGCAGTTCCCACTGTGACCTGGCCCACGGCTTCTGTGAGCCTGACGGCTCCTGCAGGTACCTCTTCCGAGCACGTGCTCCTAACCCCTCTCCTCCCCATTTCCCACCCCTTCACACCCACACCCTGGTTTGGCCCCAGGGCAGGTGTCTAGGGACTTAAGACCCTACTGTGCACTTCCCATCCCCCCATGGCACTCAGGGCAGATTGGCCAGCCTCACCCATCCCCAGTCCCCTTTGCCTTGGCTCTTTTCCTTCTTCCAGCTTGTCTCTACACTTTCTGACTCTCTCCCAAGTCTGACCCAGAAATTCTGAAACACTCCTCCTCAAGATACAGGAGAAAGACCTGAAGCTTGAGAGAGTTTGGAGATTGGAAAGAAAGGGAGAGATAAAAGAAAAATGTAAAAAGAATTGGTTGGGCCTGGAAAAGAAGGGCTGTGGGCAACGTTGATGGGGAGAAGCACTTAGGAAACAGGATCTTCCTCCATGAATTTCAGTAATTGACTCACTGGGGTGGGGGTTGGGCAAACCCTGTGGCAGGAGGGAGATGTGTCTGGTTGGACAAGGAAATGAGCCGACAGGGTAAGCTGCTGGAGGCACTGGGGGTGTTTTTGACTCTCCATCCTTGGAGATCTGTTTTTGTTTTTAAAATTAAGGCCCTGGAATCAGGGTGGGAAGAGTCCTGATGATCTTTCAGGATCACTCTTTGTTGTTGTTGTTTTTAAACATATTTTATTTATTTATTTTCAGAGAGAGGTGAAGGGGGGGGAAGAGGGAGAGAAACTTCCAACGTCGGAGAGAAACAGTGGTTTGTTGCTCCTCACACGCCCTCAGCCAGGGGTCTGGCCTGAAACCCAGGCATGTGCCTGACTGGAACTGACATGACCTTTCGATTCAGAGGCTGGCACTCAACCCACTGAACCACACCAGCCAGGGCTCGGGTCACTTTTTTTTTTAAAAATTATTTTATTGTTGTTCAATTACAGTTGTCTGCATTTCCCCCCACCCTCACCCCAGCCATCCCCACCTCCCACCTTTGCTTCCACCCTCCCCCTTGGTTTTGTCCATGTGTCCTTTGTTGTAGTTCCTGAAAACCCTTCTCCCCACTGTCCCCTCCCTCTTCCTCTCTGGCTCTTGTTAGATTGTTCTTAATTTCAATGACTCTGGTTACATTCGTTTGCTTTTTTCTTTTGTTATCAGAAGGGTCACTCTTAAAAAAAACTATCAGCCTCACATACGCCAGGACTGATATTGGGAGCATTTACAGACATATCTTAGTTCCTTCATTAACACATTCCTGCAAAGCGTATCCCCAATTTACAGATGAGAAAACTGAGGCTCAGAGAGATTACACAAAGTGCAGAACCAGAACTTGAGTGCTTCTGTCAGATGGTCTGATTCCATATGTGACCTGCACACCTGTCTGGGATGGGCCTGCTTCTGCTTAGGGACTGTCATACGTCCTCCTGTTCCCTAAAAGCTCTGGTCTTGCCTCCATTTCCTCACATCCACTACCCAGAGCCCTGACCCTGTGCTTCTCCCTACCAGGTGCGACCCAGGCTGGGAGGGGCTGCACTGTGAGCACTGTGTGAGGATGCCTGGCTGCCAGCACGGTTCCTGCCACCAGCCCTGGCAGTGCATCTGTCACAGTGGCTGGGCGGGCAAGTTCTGTGACAAAGGTAGGGGTGTAGGGGCAGCTGTTGGTCTGAAGAGCTTTGGGAGAACATCCATTTGTATTTATTAGGTCCAGCTTAACCACTCAAACACATGGTATTGTAGACTATGTTTACATGGTCATTTTAGACTATGCCTTTTTGTGTCTGAATTGGCCCTTATCCTAACCCAATAAGGTAGGCAGGGCAGCTGCAGAAAATTGTACTTATCTTTCAGATGATGAAACTGAGACCCACAGGTGAGGTAGAACTTGCCTAGTCACTCTGAGACAGACTGACATTGCCAGAGTTAGGAGCTGCTGGTTCTGAACTCAGTGTCGTTTTCCCCACCAAACCATGCCAGCCTGGGTGGGTCTGCAGCGTAAGCTGCACCCACAGAGCTGTGGGTAGGGCCTGGGCAGGTCCGGGTGCCCGGTGTAAGGCGCTATCCCAGAGCCTTCCATCTTTTCTATAGATGAACACATCTGTACCACGCAGTCTCCCTGCCGGAATGGAGGCCAGTGTGTGTACGACGGCGGCGGCGAGTTCCACTGTGTGTGCCCACCAGGCTTCCATGGGCGGGACTGTGAGCGCAAGACCGGACCCTGTGAGCAGGCAGGGTGAGTGCTGGCCCCACTGGGTGAGTTCCAGGTTAGACAGCACTGTTGAGGGGGAGGTGGTAAAGTTGTAGGGCTGAGGGTCAGAAGTCCCGCCACGGGTACCAGAGGATAAAACCCCAGCCTGCTGAAGTGTCCCTAGTTCAGGGTTTCTCAGCTTTTTTGGTACCACCTGAACCATGTCTTCAGCAACAAAAATCTGCAGGAACTGCAGGCGTAACAGATCAGCGTGTGACTGCTCTGGCTGTTGGGGTGGGGGAGGTCAAGGACCTCAGACTCCCCTCATCCTCCCAGGAAAGCTGCAGTGCGGCCCTGAGGATGTTCCCCGCACAGCCGTCCGCCTCACTGTGTGTACAAGGAAACAGGCCTATGGGGGCATTCCAGTGTCCGCCTAAGGGCCTGCCGGCGTTACAGTGCACTTGCCTTAGCCTCACAATCAGGCCAAGCCCCATGCTTGACATGGGGTGATCTCCTCTAACCTGCACAATTTGAAAGCTGGGTACTACTTGTATTACCATTTTTTAAAGGAGGCATTGGAGGCTCAGAGTGTGGGTTGACGTGACATTGCTGGGAGGGGGGTGAGGTGGCAGTGGTCAGGATGCTGACCCGGGCTACCCTGCAGGTGTGAGTCCGTATCAAAGCCCTCTCCCACCTCCACCCCAGCTCCCCATGCCAGAATGGCGGGCAGTGCCAGGATGACCAGGGCTTTGCCCTCAACTTCACGTGCCGCTGCTTGGCAGGCTTTGTGGGTGCCCGCTGTGAGGTGAACGTAGACGACTGTCTGATGCGGCCTTGTGCTAACGGCGCCACCTGTGTGGATGGGGTAAACCGCTTCTCCTGCCTCTGCCCCGAGGGCTTCGCTGGACGCTTCTGCACCATCAACCTGGATGACTGTGCCAGCCGCCCATGCCAGAGAGGGGCCCGCTGTCGGGACCGTGTCCACGATTTCGACTGTCTGTGTCCCAGCGGCTATGGCGGCAAGACTTGTGAGCTAGTCTTACCTGTCCCAGACCCTGCCACCATAGCAGACATCCCCCCGGGGCCCACCTCAGCTGTGGTGGGGCCTGCCACGGGGCCTGTCCCTCACAGCGCAGGGGCGGGTCTGCTGCGCATCTCAGTGAAGGAGGTGGTGCGGAGGCAAGAGGCCGGGCTGGGTGAGTCTGGCCTGGTGGCCATGGTGGTGTTTGGGGCACTCACTGCTGCCCTGGTCCTGTCCACGGTGTTGCTGACCCTGAGGGCCTGGCGCCGGGGTGTCTGCCCCGCCGGACCCTGTTGCTACCCTGCACCACACTATGCCCCGGCATGCCAGGACCAGGAGTGTCAGGTCAGCATGCTGCCTGCGGGGCTCCCCTTGCCTCCTGACCTGCCCCCTGAGCCTGGAAAGACCACAGCACTGTGATGGACATGGGGGCTTCTGTGCCCCCTCCTTCACCTCTTCTGCCCCTCGGACTGGAGTGGCCCTTTCTTGCCACCCCTCAACAGCCTCACACAAGAAATATTATTTTTTTAATACACAGACTGTAAGATGGGAATTTTATCCAATAAAAGTATGAAATTATAAGTGGGCTCCTTGGCCAGAAAAACCTGCCTGGAGTCTCAGATGTCAGAGGGCCAGAACAGAGGCCTGGTTCTGGGGAAACCGTGGGATGCTGCCTTAGGAGTGATTCTCAAAGAGGAACCCATGTCACCACCTCCCCTCTGGGGAGTGCCAATGAGGTAGAACCATGGAGGAGAATGTAAACACACGTCAGCTCTCAGACACCCAGCAGAGGGGAGACCATGGAGTGTGGGGACACTGCTGGGTCCTCACAGAGAGGAGCGGGCTCCCTGCTGGCTGCTCTGCAACAGCTGCTGGAACAGAGAGTGGGGCTGGTTGCACAGGGCGGCCGGGGAGTCCAGCTCCATGACCCTCCCAGCTTGCAGCACCAGCACCCGATCAGAGTTCAGGATAGTGTTAAGCCTGTGTGGGAAGAGTGGTCTGTGAGGGGGATGGAGGGCAACATCCTACAGCAGAAAGCTGACCCTCATTCCCTCCCCCCCTCCCTTGGACACCACTGTTCTGCCCACAGACTTTACCCCTGGCTCTACTGGGGAGTGGGGGCTGCAGGTTCCTTCAGACAATGAGCTATGAGAACAAGGAGCTGAGGTTCACAGGGGTTTGGAATCTCTAGGGCCCTGGCTCCTGGGGTACCTGACACCATAGCCCCCGACCAGTCTCAACGTTAGACACTTGCACACCTGTGCGCAATGGTCAGCACTGTCTTGTTGGCAAAGCGTTTGCAGATGGTCTGCTGGAGCAGCTGGTCTGTCTTCTGGTCCACACTTGCTGTGGCCTCATCGATGCACAGGACCTGGGACATGTGGAGGGGTGGGTGGGAGGACAAGGAAGAGGGTTAGTCTTGGCTCCTGCCCAAGCACCAGCACCTACCTTGCAGCTGGGCTAAGCCCAACCTGCAGCTCCCCACCTCCAGCTCTAAAACGAAAACTAACTTGGTCCCTTGAGACCTCTCCCCAACTCACTTCCTCACCCCTCACATGCCTCTGCCTTATTCCCAGCCCTCTCAAATGTCCCTTCCTCTCACCTTACCTTGGCATCTGTGAGGAGAGCCCTGGCTAGACACAGCAGCTGCCTCTGTCCCAGCGATAAGCTCCGGCCCCCCTCACCCAGTTCACCATCCAGACCGCCTGCAAGGCACAGCACTTCACCTCCGGGTCCCAGGCCTCTCCCTGCCCCCTCCCTGCTTCCTCCTCTTCCACTCTGCAGGGCAGGGCCTGGTACTCACCCATGGATGTGATCACCTCACTCAGGTGGCACTGCTCCACAGCCTGCCACAGGGCCAGGTCCTCATATAGGCCACAGGGGTCCAGGTTTTCCCGAACAGTCCCACTGAACAAAAAGGGCTCCTGGGGGATGATAGCCAGCTGGGATCTAGAGAACAAGGAGGGGCCCGCACATGGGGTCTAGGCTGAAGATGTGGTCACTGCTGCTCCCAGCACAGGTTTTAGCTGTAGATCCAGCACCCCCAGGAAAGCTTGGGGAGAAGACCTGAACACAACCCTCACTCTGTGCCCCAGTTGGTCAGCCATGTTCTAGAACGATGCAGGTGCTTTGAGGAAAACCAGAGAAACCAAGGCCCAGACTCTGTCTTTAAGGAGCTCACATCTCCCTGGGCCACCACACACAGAGAACAGGAGTGGCTTAACGGTGTCGCCCTGCCTCCCGCAGTCACCGGGACAGCAGCAATGGCAAGGAATGAGCAGAGTTCGAATAGTAGGGCAGGGACACATCAAGGTTGGAGGGCCTGGAAGTGGGTCCTGCAGAGCCGTGGGGTGGAGCTCTAATGTAAGGCCGCCACGAGTTAGAAAAGGCAGCAAAGGCGGTGCCAGGGCGTGGGATCAGTAACGGGCTTCAGAGCAGAGCTCCCCTACCTTTCCCACATCATGGAACTCGGAGAATGTGATACTAGGCTAACCTGGGGGTGGCGGCGGGATGTTTAGCCCCAGATGTGGCCTCTTGTGGCCAGGGGCAACTGGCCCAGGTCTTGAGCTGTCCAGAGCACCACCTGCCAAGCCCAAGGGATGAGTGTCTTGGGCACAGCACTGGGAGGCTCTGACTCAGGGTGCAGGGACTGGTGGTCTAGAATGCAGGGGGCATAGTGGGAAGTACAAGATAAAGCTGGAAAGGAGGGCCTGGGTCAGAGTAAAGACCTCGAGACCACAGCTCTAACCCTGGACCTGAGTACTGGGAGCTCGCCCTCCTCGCCTGCTTGTCCTATCCACCTCCTCACCGCCAGCCGACCCTGACTGCCCTGTGTCTGTAAAGCCTTCCTGGCTGGGCCTCCTTCTAAGTGCCAGTAGTCTGGTTCTCTTCTTCCCGCTACTCCAGACCTGAGCTCGGCCAGCTCCAGCTGGCTGGTGTCCACTCCGTCCAGGAGCACTCGCCCCGAACTGGGCTCCAGCAGCCGGAAGAGCACCAACAACAGGGAAGACTTGCCAGAGCCCGTGCGGCCCACGATGCCCAACTTCTCTCCAGGCTGTATGCGGAAGGTCACCCCATCCAGGGCATTTGGCAGCCCTGGCCGGTACACCAGCACCACATCCTGGAATTCCACACTCCCCTGGGTCAGCCAGCCAGTGCCTAGCTGGTGGGGTTCATGGGTGGGAGAAGAGGGAGATGGGTGAAAATGGGAGACACGGGGAGGAGAAGGGGGGTTGGAGAGTGGGAGGAGGAGGGAATAATGAGAAATGAATGGCGTGAGAGGAAAGGTGGGAGAAATGAGGGCAAGTAAAGGAGAGAGGGGAGAACAGACAATGATGAGGGACACAGTGAAGCAAGGGGAGATCACACAGGGACATGAAAGGAGCTGAGACAAGTGGTGAGGAGTAAACGGAACTTGGGCCGTCGGGACAATCCTCTAGGGCGCCAGCACCAGGCCAAGGGCAGGGGTGCAGACCTACCTGCTTCGGCTGGCCCTGGGGCTCCTGGGGCACATCACAGGAGTACTCCTCCAGCCGCTCAACGCTCACCAGCATGGTCTCTGTCTGCGTGAAGCTGCTCACCAGGCCCGAGAGCAGACCCGTCAGGGACAGGGCATAAGACAGTGACAGGCCCACCAGTCCTAGCAGGAGAGGAACACCAGCCACTAGGGGAGGCCTGGACACAGGGATGCGTGTCAGGAGGAGTGAGGCAGAACGGCACCTGAAGCTGTGGACTGAGGGCATTTCAAGGAGGCCAGCAGAGCAGCAGGAAGATGCCAGCCCCAGACCAGCACCACAGCAGGCTGGATGCAAGGCAGTGGAGTAGGTCTGGAGAGGCTACGGTGATGACAGGTGGCAGACAGGTGGGCCTGGCAGAGTGCCGTGGGTGGGGGGTGGAACAGGGAAGGGGCGGAGTCACAAGACTAGTGCTAGTACCAGATCCATCACCTGGCCCGGTCACTTCTTGAGACTCAGTTTCCTCAACTCTAAAATGGGGGGCAGGAGAATTACAACACACCCTCACAGGAGACCCTGGGTGGCAGATGAAAATGCTGGGGGACAGTGCGGGAAGAGGTCTGGGCCAGGGGATGGGAACCGCATGCTTCTGAGGTGAGCGTGAAGGTCCCAGGGTGGTACCTGGGTCAGCGAGGCCCTGCTGGTGCTGCACCAGGGCGATGCCCGCGATGGCACTGACCACCGCGGCCCCCATGAGCTGGAGCCGAATGTCCAGCCACTGCATCGTGGCACTGGACGCAAACTGGCACCTTTGGTTTAGCTCCAGGAGCCTCTGGTTCTCCTCCTCAAACCTGGGGGAGGACAGGAGGCAAGTGAGGCCCCTCCGCTGTGGCAGTGACTCCAGACTCCCCCACCACATGGCTCTTTCCTGGAGCTGATCTGTACACCCACAGGCCTCCCCTCAGAGTCTGGAGAGGTCGGTGCGCCCTTTCCTAGGGGCTGCTCTGCCTCAGTAACCCTTTTGTTTCTTTCCTCTTTCCCTTAGTGCCCTCACCCACCTTTCCCTTCTCAGGAGACCCGGAGCCCACCTCCCACGTGCCTTTTTTCTTAAGGGACCCTCTCCCCCCCCCCAGCACCTCATCCCCCTGGCCCTGGTTGGGAGAGGCAGATCCCACACACCTGTCAGTGGCCCCCGTGGCCCGGAGCACAGGGAGGCCAGCTAAGGTGTCGGCCAGGTGGGTATAGAGTGGAGACAGGGTGAGGCTGCCCAGGCGCCGCAGCTCCCGCGAGGAGGCCCTGTAATGGCGCTGCACTCGGTAGTAGATAAGGCTCAAAGGCGGCAGCAGCAGCAGCAGCCAGGGCAGGCCGGAGCCCAGCACAACCAGGAGGCCCAGCAGGCCCGCTGAGTTGGCCAGGAGGATGTTGAGGATGAAAGGCAAGCTGTCATCCACACAGGCCACATCAGAGGAGAAGCGGTTTAGGACCCGGCCCACAGGTGTGGAGTCGAAGAAAGTCACCGGTGCCTGGGAGAAGGGGTGTGGTTGGGCAAGGGCAGGGCCTGGCAGAGCGGGGGTTGGGCCATCCTGGGGAAGGTGGGTGCGGAGGGAGGCCCGAGGTAGAGAATAGGAAGGGGACAGAGAGGATGGACAGGTGGGGCCTGGAGAAGACTATCCCAGGGTAGAAAAGAGAGACTGTCCCTCTGGTCAGCGGAGACCCTGAGAGGCCATGCTGGCCATTCCACTACCTCTATGCTAGACATGCCTATGCCTCTCTCCAGAATATGGGGACTTCAGGCCAGTGAGTGAGACTTAGTCGGATGTCAGGAGGAACACCCCGATTGCCCAGGGAGGGACAGAGTGGTGAGGGCGGTGGTCCGAGTCGTGCTGTCTCCTGGCTCTGCGCCGAGGCTCTGGAGTCAGACTGCTACAGAGGGATTCCGGTTCTGCCATTTAGTAGAAGTGAAACCCCAGGCAAGAGGCTTAATCTATTAAAGGCCTCTGTTCCTCATTTCAAATACAGGGCTAATAATGGAACTGCACCTTACAGGGCTATCGGGGGCCACATGGGTAGCAGTCAGGTCCTTGGCACAGTCTGCCTGGCATGGAGGAGGTGCTCAGTGACTGCCCAATACTTGGTCTACTAATGGCAGGTACAGTCTCATCAGGTATTATACCCCTTCCCCTTTCCCCACCTTCCCTGTCCCCCAGCTCTCTGCTGTTACTCGGGGAACAGTCCTATCTTAAAGCAGGAGACTAGGTGAAGGACTTTCTGAAGCACCTCCTAAAGACAGTTTATGGTAAACGAATTCCTTCACAGCCTGAAGATGTCCCCTACTTGGCTCCTGGAGGAGAGGCAGAATAGTGCGCTGCTTGATCCCTGGCAGGCAATGGAAAGACCTACACAGTACTGGGTTCACAGCCCGGCTCTCTGGGGAAATAGCCTCACCTCGGTCACCTGCACCCTCAGAGCCTCCGTTTCCTCGTCTGAAAAATGGGGATGACAATACCTACCTCATAGGGTTATTATAAACCCAAATAAGATAAAGGAAAAGAAAGGGCTTTAACAACATTAATAACGACTGCCAAATGAGCACTTAGTATATGTGCCAGGCGCTATCCTAAGCACTCTCCATATACTAATTAATTCAATAGTCATACTAAGACAATGGGTAAGCAACAGACTAGACTAGATATACACCTAGCAATCGGGATGGGTCTTAGAAACAGCCCTAAATAGAAGTCGCAAGAAACAAAATTTCACTTGTAAAAATACATGAACACAAAACATAGGCATTTCACAAAAAGACAAAAAGACACATATTAAACACACTTAGAATGGTTGCTGTTCGAGGAAAGGAGGGGAAATGGAGAAAGGGTGTGCAGAAAAGAGATAGATAAATAAGCAACACCCCACAGGGACTTCGCATGAACTAAGGGGCGGTTAACTCAGCCCTCTGCACACAGTCCAAAACGGACGTGACTCTGAGGATGAACCTCTCCTCCCCGTGTTACAGAGGAGAAAGCTGTAGGGTTAGGCAACTGGGTTTGAAGCCCAACAGCCTCTCTGCCCTCAGCCTTTCCAGGTCTCAAGTTGTCAAGTGCTGCGCGCACCTGTTTGGGGCTATAGTCTCCTGAGGACTAGGAGGTAGGCTGGGGCCCCCAGTGAAGCCCAGGCCTGGGGAGGGCTCCCCACGCCACCCCCACCCTCTCATCCCCTCACCATAAGAACTCGACACAGCAGGCGGCGATGCAGGGTGGCGGCCGCTCGGAGGGTGCCTGCTGCAAAGAGCACCGCTCGGAGAAGGGTGCAGAGGGAGTTGACACCGGCGATCGTCGCATACACGGTGAGGTAGAAACGCACGTCTGAGGAGCCATTGGGGGCAGCTTTAGGCAGTAGGAACACTGAGGTGCTGGGTGGTGGGAGGAGGCTGTGGGTAACCAAAAGTAGGGCCACTGGGAGCTCCCTCCCCTCCCCCTCACCACTGCCCCCCATTCTCCAGAGAGACAGCCCCGCAACTCTTGCTGCCTGCCTGGCAACCGCTCTGATGACGCCAGTCCCAGCCACTCACTGGAAGCTTCTGGGGGAGAAGAGCAGCAGCTGGGCAGAGAGGAGCCCTGTGGAGTCGGCGGAGATGGGGGCTGCGGCCTCCAGGGAGTCGTTGCCGGCTGCCTTCAGCTGAGAGGTCCAGTGGGAAAGCCACCAGTCGGCAGCATTCCGCGTGGCTGCGTGGGGATGGGAATGAGAAAGCTGCGAGAGACTCGCCTCCTTTATTCTAATCCTCTGCCCTTCTTCGCTCTGCTGGCCCTCCTGCCCTGCCATGATTCCATGTCCTCCCTGGTGTGTGCTTCATTCCTGGGTCTGTCACCCCACAGGTCCGGGGAGAATGTGACCTCAAATCTGCTGAATGGGGCAGATCAGAAGATGGCTATGGAGTGATCTGTCTGGCCTCTGGGACTCTCTCCGAACTGGGGGCAGGCCTAATGTCCCAGCCGTCGCCATGCCTGGTGAGTCTCTGGGCTTTGTAAGAGTTGGTACAAGGTGAAGGATGTGATGGGGACCTAGACGACAGGGCTGTGGATGCGATAAGGGCCTCCAGGGTTTATCCCTACCTTGCATGAGGAGCAGCGAAAAAAGGATGGCCAGGGCCAGGCCCGCACCTATGGCCCTCCAGTATGCTTGGTACACGTGGAAGGCCACGGCGCCCTCCTTCTTGCTTTCTTCCTGCAGCAGGCGGCCAGATGCACCCTCCTCCACCTTCAGCCCCTCCTTTGTTGTCTCTGGGTTCCACACTGACTGGGCTGTGGCTGGGAAGATCAGGAAGGTCGGGGGGACTAAGCTTGATGGTTGAAAACCTCAGTGTTTGAGAGGGGCGGGCAAGCTCAGTAGAAATCATCTCTCTCCAGTGTCACAGTGAGGAGCAAGCCACCTCCTCCCATCCTCGGGCCATACCTGAGTCAGACCCTTGCCCATCCACAGCCCAGACTTTGGGAACAGCTTGCACCAATGGCAGGATCTCAGAGGGAGGCCCTGGAAGGTAGCAGGGGAGATTAGGAAGGGACTATTCTCGAAATATACTAGGCTTTTCTAAATATGTGTGCCAATCCACCCCACACCCAATTCTTTTGGGACCCACCCTAGCACAGCTCTGCTCTGGACCCCCAGAGTCTGGGCAGGACCGTCAAGTCCATCCCTTCTGTGTCTGGAGTCCAATCAGCACATTTAGAAAATATTCACCCCTGGGAGAGTCACAGCACCTGTGAGCGCTCCGTCCAGAGTCACCTCTCAGCACTGCTGAGCTTTCTCCTCACCTAGCAGAGAAGACCCCTAACACTCTGGTGGAGCCTCATGTCCTCTGTTTCTCTCCCAGAAAACTTGCAGATGGTCATGTCCCTCTGGATAATAACCCTTCAGGATTTTTTTAAAATAAAAGACTGTTCTAAAATTGTTTTCTCTTCTCCGAGGGCACCCGAATATTCTCAGTGATCCTGGGCGTCTAAGTCCAGTCACAGATCCCAAGTCCCCAAGCCGCCGGGTCTTTCTGCCAGTGCGCTCCTGTCCCTCCCGCCCCGTTTCCTCACATTGGTTCTGGGAAGGCAGGACAGAGGCTCCCGTTAGAAAGAAGGATGAGCAGGCCTCACACAGAGGGATGGCAGAATCTGCACTCGACAATCCATCTGTCCCTCTTCCCCAGTTACACCCAGGCAGACGGCTCCCTCACTGGCCGGCTTCTGTCCTGCAGACCACATTACCAGCCTGGACCAGGCGCCCGGCCTCCAGCAGCAGCACCAGGTCAGCCTTCTCCAGGTACTCGGTGCGGTGGGTGCAGAGCAGCCGTGTGGTGTGGCTCAGCGCTCCCAGGATGCACCTATGTAGCAGGTGGTTGGCCACGTCTGCATCCACAGCAGCCAGAGGGTCATCGAGGAGATAGAGCTCCTTTTCCTAGAAAGCAGTGGGGGCACCGTGGACACCAAGTCCTGGGTCCTCTGGCAGAACCCAGACTTCTCCTAGGACATGACCTTGAGAGAGTCAGACAGGGCAATTCAGAGGAAGAGAGGGAGGTGAGACCTGAGATAGACTTTCCTCCAGTCAAACAAGCCCAGTGCCCTAGGGCAAGTGCCCAGCCTTGCTGGGTCCCAGAGCCTCAATGCACATAATAGTTTTTAAAGGACCTTTAATTCTGCCTTACAAAAGGAAAATGGGATGGCCAAGGGACCAACAACTCAGGAGCATGGGTGGGGGAGAATTAGATACTGATGATAATACCCCATCCCACGCCTTCTGACTGAGTTCCCAAGGTTCTGGGCTCCCCCACCTTTAACTCACCTGGTAGACAGCACGAGCAAGAGCGATCCGGGCTCGCTGTCCCCCGCTGAGGGTCACACCCTTCTCTCCCACCTCTGTCTGGTCTCCAGCAGGAAGGATCTGATGAGACAGGCCCCTCAGTGTTGGTCAGCGAGCTCCCCGAAACTTCCTACCCCATTTCCTATCCCTTTGCATAGAAACAAGTCAGTGAGCTCGAAAAGACTGGTCTTGAGTCTGAGGGAGCAAGGCAGTGGGCATAAGCCACAATTCCAGTAACAACCAGCATTTATTGAACATTTACTATGAGCTTAGCACTTTACAGGCATCATCTCATCCCATCCCCTTGACAACCTTATGAAGATGGTATTAGTTCCTTTTCACAGATGAGACCAAAGCTCAGACAGAGCCGCTATCTTGCCCAAGGTTGTTTCACAGCTAGTATGGGGCAAGACATGAACAGAGATTCCTAACCACTCCTGCACAGTGCCCTGCCTTCTTAACGGGCAAGGATGATGATGGGCATAATGCGAAAGCTTTCACAGGTTTTTCAGGAAGGAACACACCTTGAGCCTTCCCGTGGTGTCAGGAGTGGCCTCCTTAGCTAAGGGGTCCCTGTACCAGAGGAAGTACCTGTAGCCCACCAGATGGCATGTCCTCTGAGGAGCTTTGCTACTCATCTCTTTTCTTAGTGTCTACAACAGTTCCTGGTGATATTTGGGAAATGCTTGATATAGAAACAAACAATAAATGGACCTAGGATGCCCCATGGTCAAAGTCAAAGGTCCTCCTTTCCAGAAAAGTGCCACATTTACCTGAATAGGGTAGTGGTGAGGACAGTCCCGCAGGGATATGGGGGTGGGGTGGGGAAATCACGGGAGAAATGTGTAATTTCATCACCCCTAAATTTAGTACTCTGGGTGAGGGGGATCTAAAGGGTTCCTTAGGCTCCCCTAGAGTAACCTTGACTCTCCCAAGTCTTCCCACTTGGAATTAAGGAAGGGACTCTTGAATAAGAACTGTTAGCCAGCCCTGACCAGTGTGGCTCAGTGGGTTGGGCACTGTCCCACAAACCAAAAGGGTCGCTGGCTCAATTCTCGGTCAGGTTGGGTTGTAGGCCAGGTCCCAACTGGGGGCATGCAAGAGGTAACCAATTGATATTTCTCTTGCACACCGATGTTTCTCTCCCTTTCTTTATCCTTCCCTTCCCCTCTCTCTAAAAATAAATATTTTTAAAAAAATATAAAAAAAGAACTACTAGTCAGACCTATGCAGAACTAAGTCTGACAGAGAGCCCTTCCCTGCCCCAGACAACTCGGGGCTCCCCCACTGCTCTGTGGGGCACTGCCACCACTGCCCCTCTGAGCCCCACGCAGAATGAGGAACCAAACAGCTGAGCACCCCGGGGGGGACCAAAGCCCGACGGCCAGTCCTAGGTGAGGATGCCTGAGTGGAAGCGATGCCTTCCCAGAGTAGCAAGTCTCAGCCTTGAGGTGTCAGGGACACAAGGAAGCAGGTGGCCAAGAGGTTTCTGGGCCAGGAACTCACACTGAGGTCGTCATTGAGGGCGCAGGCCTCTAGCACTTCCTTATATAGCTGGGCATCAAATGTCTTCCCAAAGAGAATGTTGTCTCGGATGGTGGCAAACTGGATCCAGGGTTCCTGGGTGGCCAAGCCAAAGCCATGGGACAGCCCCCACACTGCCACCCGTCCATGCAGCCTGCAGAGAGCCAGGCCAGCAGCATGAGGGCTGGCTCCAGACTGAGTCTCTCCACGCCCAACCCTTTCCAGACTGCTGTCTTCTACACAGGGGCCCCTTCATGTCACATGGCTCTTTGGGTTGGCAGCCATGGAGGTGGAGATGTCCTAAAGGAGGCTGTGGGCTCATTCTGAATAGGGAAGGGAAGAAATTGGTCTTTGACTGAAGCCAAGCAGCTGTCTTACCTAGATGTGCTCAGACGCTCCGAAGAGACTGTGGCCACTACCCTGGACTCATGCATTCTCACCATGGAAGAAGACAACCTTCCATCACACCTCAGCTCTTCCCTGGGTCCCTTCCCTGAACAACCACACCTTCTCAAAGGGTGGCGATGCTGGATGTTTCCACTTATTTCTTCACTCACTATTATAACACTTAAAACACTCTGGTGTGATGATTATGATAACTCACTTTGACTGTCTCTCCCTTTCCAGACTGAAAACTCTCCCAAGAAAGGGACCATGTCTTCTTCATCTTGGCATCTCTGGCCCCTAAAAAAGGTGTCCACCACATAACAGGGGCTAGGTAAGTGTTCACTGAAGGGCAGAGCTGAGGGTGGGGACGCTAGAGGTCGCTTACCTGTGAAGCTCCCCAGCAACAGCGGCCAGCAGCGAGCTCTTCCCACAGCCCACCTTCCCCACGATGCCCACAAGGGCGCCCTACAAAAAACCGCACAAGTGTCAGTTCTCCTTCCTGAGGCCCTGGGCTGCCGATCATGCCACAGCGGCTTCTTTCTAGGTCCCAGTTAGTCTGTAGGGAAAGAATTTGCCCTGGGGAAAACTGCCCAAGAACTTCCAAGGGAAGCTCTAAGACAGCATTCCAGAATGGTGAGAGGGGAGGATACGACCTCAGGCTAGACGTCTGATACCTCAGGGCAAAAAGCACTATTTTTCAGAAGTGTCCATTTCTGTGATTTGCAGCTTAAATTTGTTGTGTTCCCTTCATTTCTTAGTTGTAATGTACATTCATAGAGCTAGCTCTTGTACGAAAGAAAAACAGAATCCCTCTCTAGACACAGGCAGAGCTCCCAGAAGCTCTGTCCGTGATGCCCCCGCCCAGCCCAGCCTGGGCTGACCCATCTACCAGTAGGCACCAGACCAATCCGAGACCCTTCCCTGGAAATGCTCCTTAGTTCTGGCTACAGCTGGTAAGCAGAAGGGCTCTCTGCAGTCCTAGCTTCTGCTCAGTGGAGAGTGGGTCCACAGAGAGAGAACAATGAGGCCAATACAGAGAAAAAAGCAGACAGAAGGAAAGAGCTCTCTGCAAGTCAAGGCCTGGTTCTGGGCTGCTCCTGAGGTTGGGCTGCGTGCTTGGTTTTGGACTCTGCAATTCATCTCTATACCCTTAGTATACATTCTTATTTGCTTAAGCTAGCTCCAGTGGGTTTCTATGATTTCTATCCAAAAAAGCCCAACTGACACATTAGCAAAATTCCTTTGAAAAATCCCAGCCTTATCTTGCCTGAACTAAGAGGAAAAACAAACATACAGCCCCAGCCAGAAATGTGGGCCAAGTGTGGGGGAGACAGTTCAGGCACCACTGGAGGACGCTGGGTTGAGACGTGGGGCACAGGGTGGGGCGGGGGTCAGGGCAGAGTGAACACTCAAGACTGGGGTGAACAGGAGTCACTCTCTTGCCAGGAATGTTTTTCAAGTGCTTCTTTGAGAATGTGTGCCAGTGGTGTGAATCACAGGGTGCAATTCCTTTCACCAGGCTGCAGTGGATTATCTATTCCATTCGCAAAACCCTTCTCAGAGGGGTTACTGGGCCGCTGCTGGGCCTCTTCCTGGTCCTCAGCCTTGGAGGGATGCTGGATAAGTTCTGGGGTCTGTTCTGAACTGGACAGCACCTAGGGGTCATGGAGGATCCAGCAGACAAACACACTCGCTGGTCAGGACTGGGTGGGCATGAACTGTCCAAAGACCAGAGACGTGACTAGTCCTTCCCTTGGTAACTAGAGCTACAGGGCCATCTAGCTATGACTGGCTCCATCCTCGTTCATCTGCCACCGAGTCCCCATCCTCCTTATTAGTCTCAGGACTCTCCTACGTTGTGTGAGCAACAAACCTTCTTCACTTCAAGGTGACTGATGAAGGTTTCCTGGCTGGTTCCAACTGGGTCCCAAGAAAACAGGGCTTCATGCAGCTCCACCACTGTAGATCCATCTGTGGGGAGATCTGAACAGGGGAGACAACACTCACCTTGGCCTTCCAATGCACCACCTACCTGCTTTGGGGAGGGTAAACCAGGGGCATGTCATTAGCTTGCCTGTCCCATGTCTGTTTACCCAGGGCTGATTCAGCTTCAGTCTCACTGTGAGGGTTCTCCCCCAGGAAACGGCCGCCTGCTCTACCTGGATTCCATTGCCTCTAGCTTCTCTTGGTAGCATCTGTGTACAGTGCCTGGGAGCTACAGCTCCCTCCTCACCTTGTGCCAGGTTCTACCCTCTAGCTTCCCCTTACCTTGGCTGTAGTAAGCCTTGGGGTTGTGGTTGGGAAGGTCGAGGAATCGCTGGATCCGGTCCAAGGACACTTTGGCCTCCAGGAGGGCATTGATCACCCAAGGGAAGTTGTTGAGAGGAAGGATGAGCATGCGTACTAGTGCCAGGGCTGTGAATACCTAAGTGGGTTGGAGGGAGGGAGCGGGGGTGAAGCACCTGAAGGCCTGCTGTATGGACGGCCCCATGGATGGGTTTGTGGAAGGAAGAACAGGGCAGCAACAGAACTGAGGGACAATCAGGACAATCCTTGCATCAGAGTTGGCAAAGGTGGGTACTCTAAGAATCCTACAAACTCCAGATGTTCCACCAAGGATCCAGGTCGTACCTGAAGCACAGAGGCCCAGCCCATTCTCAAACCTTCTCAGAATTTCTAAGTAGTAACCCTCTGGCCCTGGGCAGAAGTGTCATTAAATTGTGGATTTTTGTTTTCCTTCAAGGCCATCAGAAAAATAATAAGGGGACCTAACACCGAGCTTGGGCCTGACTAGAAGTTAAAAAAGGCAGAGGTAATAGGAAATTCCTTCACAGACGGAAGGGTTACATAAGTGAGGCCCCAGAAAAAGGTCCCTTTAGAGGATTCCCCTTGGTTGGGAAAGGAAAGGCAGCCAGGGATCCCCCTCCCTCCCTCCTTCCCAGCCAGCACCGCTGTCCTGAGCCCATCTCCCCACTCCACTGCAGCCTCCTTGCTGCTGCCTTCCTCCCATACTTTCCTACAGCCATCCTCCCTGCCGTTCCCGAATCCCTACCTTGGTGGCAGTGAGCTGGTGCCCCAGGAGGACATAGGTGATGAAGATGACAATGGAGATGACAACTGGCAGGGCAGCCCACAGGTACACACAGGCTGCATCCAGGTATTTGATGACCCGGAGTTGCCCCAGCTCTTGAGCCCGGCAGGCCTCTACTCGGGCCCCCAGTGGCTGCTCCCACCCGAAGAACTTGATGACTCGAATGCCACTCAGCAGCTCTGTCATGAGCTAAGGATGGGGACAAGAAAGCAGTGTGGAGACACTGCTCATGTTTGTCCCCTGCCTGGGCCTCCCCAGGCTCCTGGTAGAGGGTGCCAAGTACTCTGAGCCCCCACACACTCTGTACTTGCTACCCTGGTGTTCTCCTCCACCTCACTCCTTCTGTAAGTCTCACCCTCAAACCCTTTTCTGCCCTGGGTTGCTTCCCCTCCTTTTACTTCTCCATATGCTGCTAACTGGGAATGGGTCAGAGCTGGGACCCCCTAACTTCCTAAGAGATGAAATGGTGCAAAGGGCAGAGGGTTACCATGCCAGGGTAAAAGCATTCATTCTGTTAGATGAGGGACTGAGGACTACTTCCCAAAGCCAGAAGATAAGGGCTCGGGGGGCTGGTCACCAGTCCGGCCCATGGCTTGGGTGGTATGGGAACTACTGCTCCTGTTGGAGAATACAGGTGTAGGAGGCCACACCACAACTCAGGGTCAGACAGGCAGAGGGGCCCAGGAGAGATGGGTCAGGGCCGAGGAACTCTTTGGATCCTAACATTTTTATATCCTTGGCCTACAAAGCCAGGGAGGCACAGGGAGCGTCCCCAGATGGCCCTGGAGACCTGGTGTGTCACGGACAGGGAAAAGGCCTCCTGCTACAACCAGCCACCAGGGTCAGCCCCTCCCCATAGCCCTCTGAGCTATTCCAGTAAGACGTTGCCAGCTATGCTGCATAGGCCCCAGGCCCACCATCCCCTCTGTAAAGGTCCCCATAATCATTGCAGAACCCAGAACTGACTCAGCCAGAGGCTCAACACCTAGAGCTGGCCCAGGAAGGAAAGTGAGCTACTCCTTTCCCCAAAGCCCACCTTTGGGGGGATCTCCAGATTGCTGAGGGACCTCAAGCAGCCCCTCACCTTAACCCGTGCATCCTTGTGCTGTAGCATCTTCTGGTTACTGGCCATGATGCGGGTGGCAATCACTTTGTTGACAGGTACCAGTAGCAGTGCCAGGATCAGGCCACCCACGAAGGCCACACCCACCTGCTGGTGCAGCAGGTAGAGGGTGATGGCCAGCTGCAGCGGCAGGCCCCAGGCCTCATGGAAGCTCCCAGCAAAGTTAAGCAAACGCTCAGAGTCAGTGCCCAGTAGGTTCAAGGCTTCCCCAGTAGGAGGGCGGCTGGGACCCAGCTGTAAAGCCTTTCGGTACAAAATGTTCAGCACGGCCCCCCGTGCCTGAAGTGTCACCTTCCGTACCTCATACCCATACTGATTCTGCAGCACAGCGCCCAGAACAGCCCCACCAGCTAGCCCCACGGCATACAGCAGGCCATTGCTTAGTGGCTCCTGCCCCTCCTCCAGGAAGCCCACCAGTAGGGACAGCAGCAGAGGCCCTGAGAATCCCAGCATGGTCCCCACCAGCTTCAATAGTCCAAGACCCAAGTAGCACCGCCCAAAGGCCCCATACAGAGCCCTCCACAGCTGGCCCCCCTCCTGCCAGTGTGCCTGGAAGACACAGGCCAGGTAGGTTGGGTGCAGCCTGTGTGGAAGGTGGCAAATGTCCCGGGGCTGCTGGAGCTCTCCACGGGCACCACGGGCCAGCAAGGGTGTCAGCCAGGCATAGGAAAAACGTGACAACCAACTCTCCCCATCTTCAGCTATCTCGGGTTCCTGTCTCTCAGGGAGGAGGGGCTCTTGGGCCCAGGATTCCCGGGGCTCCCCAGGGACTGCCCAGCCCAGTCCATAGGCCAAGAGTGCAGCTAGCTGCAAGATGAGAAGACACAGGCGGGAGAGAGGACCTGGAAGAAGTGGGGGCAGAAGTGTGCCTCGCTGGAAGTGCCACAGCAAGGTCAGCACTAGGGCTGGGGCTGGCAGAAAGGCAGCCAGAGCCAAGGCCAAGGGTCCCTGGGAGTGGCCATGAGGGGAATGAGCCAAAACCCATAAAGCCAGGCTGTGGCTGAGCCAGGCCACAGCTGCCACGCCCCCTGCCAGCACCTCTAGCCCTATAGGCCCTGGGCCCGCCCCTGGTGACAGAGCAACTGGAAGGAGGTCTAACAGTGGAAAGCTGGCAAGCAGGCAGGAGGCTGTGATTCGGAGGCGCCAGCCAGGACTGCAGGGTAGGTTGTAATCTGGACTCCTGGGGACAAGGAGGAAAAAGAAAAGGAGATACATTATGGCTGATTCAGGGCCCAGACATCCCTCTAATAACTCACTCCCCTGAAGAGAATCAACTCCCTTTCCTCCTCTGTACACATTACTTCCAACCCCAGTTTACCCTGGAACCTAGAGCCTTTTCTCCTAGGAAGTCTTCGTGGATTCACCTAATTTATTTTCTAATCTAACCACAACATTTCTCATCAGTCTTTCACCACAGAAAACTGTTCACAGAAATGAACAGTTTTGAGTTTAGGGTGTACCAAACATAAAGGTTTTAATTAGGAAAAAAATTCTACATTTTCATACTGATAATTACTACAGAATGAGTATTCATTTTCACAGAAATAGCTACCTAAAATAATCCTTGAATTCACCCGAAGCACTATTAGATGAGTAAAAATTTGACTGAAATACACTTTTTACACTCTTAATAGCCTGAATGTCATGAAGCCTCAGAATACTCTACTCTCAGTCTTTCCAATGGTTGTAGAAAGTGGTGTGGATCATTCCTGCAACTCCTTTAGCTGAAGAAAAACCTCTTTCCAGTCTTGCCTATATCTATCTTCTTGGCATGCAAAACATATTTTTAATACACAAAAGGGTGATCTGTCTGCATTAAAAATCAAGTGTAAAACATGCCTGCAGCAATGAATGTTAGAATGTCTTGAAAGTTCATGTAAAACGAGGATAAATCTTTGTTTCCTTTGATGGCAGGGGTAGGTTACTGAAAAACTTTAATTGTAGGTTAAAATGCTTCAGGTTTCCTTAAAAAAATCCAGCTTAGAAGTTATATGAAGGGGTTTATGTTGGAATAAAAGTCAACCTTTAGTAATTCTGTCTCTTAAGATGTGGAGACAGAAGAGCATTGGGCCTTTGGGGGCTGGAACACTGGCCCTAAGTTGGCCATCAGCCAGTCTCACGACTCTTTCCCTCTGTGCATCTCATTTTCCTCATTGGTGCAGTGACCAGTGAGGACTCTCGACCCAAAGCCCTCCAAGGGCCCTTCCCACTTGAGATTTTGAATCTCTCTAAGTCTTTTCAACAATGCACAGAACTCTGATGAGTGAAGTGAAATAACCATGATTTCTACTGATTACATGATGCTCGTTCTTGCTTGCTTTTTTGTCAGACTGTAAGTTCCCAAAGGAACCTCTCTGAGCAGGCTGTGGATGTCTGTGCTGACTGACTAACCCTCTTTTCTTTTCTTTTGTTCTCTGTAAGAGATAAAACAGTATTCCTCTAAGCCCAAAGCTTCACTTACCCAAGGAAGGGGTTCATCAATCCCCTCATTCATCTTGGTTAGGGACACATTCTGTCCATCAGGCTAAGGACTCCCACAGGCAGAGACAACACTCTGATCAGTGGCCAGAGTGAGACTGACTTTGCCATGTCTAGCCATACAGGAACTGAGTACAAAACCAAGGTGAGTTTAGCCCTTGCACATTCTAGTCCCAAACCTGGGTAGGGTTAGGGTTGCGATTTTGCTCTTTTCCTCTACCCACTGCTTCCTCTCCAGCTATGTATGTGTTCTTTTCTTAGCTTATGAACACAGAGGTTTCAAGAGACAGAAGTGAGAAACTGGTCCTACAACTTCAACACAAATTATCCTTTTTTGGCTAAAAACATTGTTCACCCAATTTTGCCTCTAATTCATGACAGTTGTGTCTGAACATCTGAAAATCTACAAAATTGGTGATTTCTACCACGCACCAAGCTTTTAAAAATGTGCCAGGCACTGGCTCTATATGCTTAAATGCACTATCTCATTTAAACTTCCCAGCACTGGTATGAGGCTCAGCAAAGTCAAGCAACTTGCTCCAAAACAGCCACACTGCTGCAAAGCGGTAATGCCCACATTTTATTCTACTTTTGCCCTATTCCAGAGACCTCACTGGTTACACTGCCGCGCAAATGTGGGTTTTGGGAGAGGTCTGCAGGCACACACGGACAGATGTGTGTGCACCCCGTCTCTACCCACCTAGGGGTCCCCCAATAGCAAGCACTGAGCACGGCGAGGAGGGCGTGGGGCAGGGCGCTGAGCACCAGCTGGGTGAAACAGTGGCCTGTGGTGTCCCCCTCCCACACCGGAAGTGGCTGCAACGCGCTGGTGTCACACAGCTGAGCCAGAAGCTGCTCCATGGAGGCTTCACCTGCGGGGAAAGCCAAAGGGTGGGGAGAGAGGGTAATCCGCGTCCCGATGGGTGAGGACCAGGCAGGGGGCAGGCCCTCGGGAGGTGGGGGAGCTGGGACGCTGACCCGGTCGCGTGGCTGGCGTCAGCTGGCCCTGACTGCGAGCCCCAACCATCCTCTTCCCACCTCCAACCCCGCCCTCGAACCCGGACCTCCCCCTGCATCCTCCCTGAAGCCAGACCCCGTCCATTCTCGCGTTACCTCAAGGGCACAAAGGGAGATGGTTTGACTGCCTGGAGCTGGCGGACCTCGGGGTCGGTCACTTACACGGCCTTTGAGGTCCGGAACCTGTAATCTGAAGAACTGCTTTTCACCGGATCCTAAGATCCCGAGCACTGTTGTAAGCAAAAGAGCCTGCTACCTGCCGGGTTGGGGTGTTGGCCACGCTTGCTTGGCACCCCCTAGAGGCGGGATGACTCCTCAGGCGCCGTTCGCCCTCTTGTTCACAGAGTTTTCGCGTTGGTGTCGGTTTCGTTTGGTGTCTCTACCCTGGCACGCCCCTACTGTGGCATCCTAGTATTTCCGCCCGTCTTTGCGGCCTCACTTGAATGTGGACTGAACTCAGCTGTAGTGCAACGTCATTCATACACTCATGTAGAGTACTCTCTCCTCTGCCTGCTGGTTACTAGCAGGTACATGCCTTGCACTTCAAGTTTTCAGAACTTTCTGAGAAGTCGAACGTGACCTGCACCAGCGCATAATGCCATTTAGGGACATAAAACCATTTCCCTCCTAACTCCAAGGCTACATGGCCTGGGGGGAAGTTATCTAACCTCTTCGAACTTCAATTACTTTGTTTGTATAAAGGAAATAATACCAATACCAAAGTACTGTTGAGAAAGTTTAATGATTAAAGTGCTCAGAGCAAGTGCTTTGCTTAGATTAGTTCGACATTAAATCCTTAAGGGCAGCAGTGGTATAACGGAGTGAAATGCTTCCCCTCTCTCATGGCTTCAGGCTAATAGCTTTTGCTATGCATATGCTAATTAACTAGAGGAGTTCCACTTGAGGCTTGAGTTTTTGCGAGTTTGGCCAGCCCCTTGCTAAATGATGCTTTTCCCAAAGAGGTGGGAAATGTGGGAAAAAATAATGACTGTTTATGAAAGATCTATGAATCTCCAGAACCAGACTCAGATGGGCTGCAGATCAAGAACAAAGGGATTTAGAAATTTCTAGCTTTTCCTTGGATCCCCCTTTCCCCACCCACCTCTTGCCTCACCCATCCTCCCTTCTCTTGACTTAAAAGACTCCTGAATTTTTAGCTTTCTTAAGATGGATTTGAGGATTAGTTCTCCTCTCTGCTCAATTGATGACTTTTAAACCAACAAACCTTTCCATACTATGACATAGTAAATATTAGCCTCTCTTTTGAAGCATCAAGCACACAGGCCTTGCACCTATAACATTCCCACTGCCCATCTGAAGAAGGTGGTACAAGATGGGGTGCAGGGTATGGTCCCCTCATTTTCATAATACTCAAGTGTGCTAATTTTTTATAAGAAGTTTGGCAAAGGGGTCACACACCAAGCATAGGATCCTTTCTGACTGTCACAGCCAACTAAGCCACTTTTTCTCAGAACATGGGAGAGGAAAGACCATTTGAAGCAAATAATTGTTTTGTTCCTACTTCTTCCTAGTTACCCAGATAAATTTTTCACATGGTTTCTAAAAAAATGAGGCTAAAGGTATAAGTTTGTCTCTGTCCTTCCCCTTTGGGGAATTATTGGTAAGCAGAATGACAGCGAGGTGGGATGAAGAGGTTAGCATTGGTCACCAGATAATTCACAATCCGTAGAGGGGAAGGCTGGCCAAATTCTCCAAAACCTACACAGCCAAAGGGAGATTCTACCACTTTGAAAACTGACTTCAGACTCATCGCACTCAGATCTAATGTGAACTGAGCCTGGATAACTGAGCCTTATGTGCTCCCAGAGATAATGGGAGTGAGGGTGGGCGGATTCCGCTGAGTGGCTAGGAGGGGATGGCGGGGCAGTACAGGTACCTCTGAAGAAGGAAGAGGAGCTCTCAGATGGTGATTTTCCAAGGCAGTAGGTTCTGTCTCCAAGGTTTCCTCTCGGCTTACTTTCTCCTTTCTCCCTGCACTTTATTCCATAGTTACCAGCAAGGCGATTCACTGGAGGGCAAGTGTGGCCAGGGCTAAATCTGGGCAAAGCCCCTGCCACACCACGTGTTCATTCAGCTCACATCATCTCCCTGAGAGGTAGCCTGTCATCTGAGAAGCATCGTGGAGTAGAACTAACCTGAAGGGTGTGAAGGGAACAGGAACAAGGTCTGCCGAGACCACCTGTCACCTGCTTTTTCCTGAAGATGACCTTTCATGGACGTGAAACCATGCACTATGTGGCCTTTTGTGTCTGCCTTCTTTCATTTAGCATAATATTTTTGGAGTCCACCAATGTTAGGGTGGTCGGTGATGCAGGCTGTGAAAGAATTCACAAAGAGAAGAAAGTGCAGAGAGTAAAGGTTTTATTTTTACCTTCCTAAGGGAGGGAAAGGGCTAGGTGAGGAGACCTGCACCAGCACTGAGAGGTGGGGCCTGTGAGCTTTTATGGAGGGTGGGGTGGCTGTAGAGCAGCAGGTTTGAGTTAGGCAGCATCTTGTTTCAATGTTATCTTTGGGTGCAGGGTCCAGTGGTCATTGGTCTGGTCTGTCCTGTTCCTTAAGTTCCTGGAGCCTTTGAGCCTTCAGGGCACTTTCAGGAATTTTCTAGTCCTGGGGATAAAGGTTCATAACACAGTCGTGTTTATGGGGTCCAGCTAGCTCCAAGAAAGAGGGCCTGAGAAAGTGGTTTTTGCCCTATTAACCAATGTCGTAGCATGTATCAGTAGTTCATTCCTCTTTTTAAAAAGAGCTTTACTGAGAGAAAATCCACATAAACAATTTACTCAGTGTACAATTCAATGGGTAATTTTATTTTGTTCCCTCTCTTGGGTATTTTTTTTATTGATTATGCCATTACAGTTGCTCTATTTTCCCCCCTTCATTCCCCTCCACCGTGCACATCCCTCCCCCACCATTCCCCCCCTTTAGTTCATGAACACATGTCTCAAGTTCTTTAGATTCTACATTTCCCCTACTATTCTTACCCTCCCCCCTATCTAGTTTCTACCTACCATTTATGCTACTTGTTTTCTGTACCTTCTCCCCCCTTCTCCTTCTCCCACTCCCCTTTGCTAACCCTCCATGTGATCTTCATTTCTATGGTTCACTCCTGATCTAGCTGTCCTCTTAATTTGCTTTTGTTTTAGGTGTGGTTGTTAATAACTGTGAGTTTGCTGTCCTTTCACTGTTCATCTTTTTTATCTTCTTTTTCTTAGGTAAGTCCCTTTAACATTTCATATAATAAGGGCTTGGTGATGATGAACTCCTTGAATTTGATCTTATCTGAGAAGCACTTTATCTGTTCTTCCATTCTAAATGAAAGCTTTGCTGGATAGAGCAATCTTGGTTGTAGGTCTTTGGATTTCATGACTTGGAATACTTCTTTCCAGCCCCTTCTTCCCTGTAAAGTCTCTTTTGAGAAATCTGCTGACAGTCTGATGGGAACTTCTTTGTAGGTGACTGTCCCCTTATCTCTTGCTGCTTCTAGGATTCTCTCCTTCATTTTAATCTTGGTTAATGTAATTATGATGTGCCTTGGTGTGTTTCTTCTTGGGTCCAACTTCTTTGGGACTCTCTGAGCTTCCTGGATTTCCTGGAAGTCTATTTCCTTTGCCAAAATGGGGAATTTCTCTTTTATTATCTGTTCGAATAAGGTTTCCACTTGTGGCTGTTCCTTTCCCCCTTCTGGTACCCCTATAATTCGGATGTTGGAGCATTTAAAGATGTCCTGGAGGTTCCTAAGCCTCTCCTCATTTTTTTGAAATTTTTTTTCTTCATATTTTTCTGTTTGGTCATTTTTTCCTTCCTTCTGGTCTGCTCCCTTGATTTGAGTCCCGGTTTCCTTTCCATTACTATTGGTTTCCTGTGCATTACCATTCATTTCAATTAGTTTGGCCTTCATATGTTCCTCTAATTTGTGACTAAAATCAACCAATTCTGTGAGCATCCTGATTACCAGTGTTTTGAACTGTGCATCTGAAAGTTTGGCTGTTTCTTCATTGCTTAGATTTATCAGCTCTGGGGCTCTGAGTTGATCTTGAACCATGTTTTGATCTGTCTGCGCCTGTTACATATGAGGAGAGGTGCCTTAGGTGTTCACCAGGGCGGGGCCACCCAGGTCGCTGGTTTGTGATGCTGTATGTGGGGGTGGGGTCAGAGAGGGAGCATTGGCAGTCCTCTCCGCTCGCCCAGTCCGCCTAACCACTCGCCCCGCCTGCTTATCTGAGCGCAAATGTGCGAGCCCGCCGCCCTGCTCCGGCCACTGGGGCCTGCTCAATCTTGGTGCTCACCTCTTCACTGGTTTATCTGCCTGCAAATGTGCGACCGACTGCAGACAGCCAGCCGCGCCTCTTCCCTGGGTTCCGCCCGTAGCTAGCCCGCGCCTGGGATCCGCACCCTCAGCTGACTGTGCACCGCCCGAATTGGGGGATCTTTTTTGCCCAACCAGCTCTGCTGCTGGCTTCGCCCCCTCACCGGTTTTCGGACTCCGTATTCGATTTTCTGTGTGGTTTGGTTGCATTTATTGTCGTTAAAACTTTGTTATTTTTAGATTTGTTTGTGCGAGGTCGCAAAGTGTTCCCACCTACGCCTCCATCTTGGTGGAAGTCTCTTGGGTATTTTTTAAAAGATTTTATTTATTTATTGTTAGAGAGAGGGGAAGGGAGGCATAAAGAGAGAGAGAAAAATATAGATCAGTTGCCTCCTCAGGCTGCCCACAGGCCAGGCAAGTGCCCTAACTAGGAATTGAATTGGAGACGTTTCAGTCTTCAGGACAATGTTCAACTGACTGATCCACACCAGTCAGGGCATAATCCAGTGGTTTCTAGTATACTGGCAGTCAACATTATAACATTTTCATCACCTCGAAAACCCTTTCACTTTCAGGCTTTTATTCCCAATCACCCCCCAACCCCCAACCCTAATCCACTATCTGTCTCTACAGATTTCCCTCTTTTTGACTTTCATGTGAATGGAGCCATGTAATAATGTGGACTTTTGTGACTGGCTTCTTTCTCTTAGTATAATAATTTCAAGGTTCATTCAAGTTGTAGCCTGTATCAGTATCTCATCTTCTTTTTTTTAAGTAATTTTTATTTTTAAATATATATATTTTAGACAGAGAGGAAGAGAGAGACAGACAGAGAGAGAGACAGACAGACACAGATCAGTTGCCTCTCATATGTGCCCCAACACAGGACCAAACCCACAACCCAGGCATGTGCTGTGACTGGGAATGGAACGAGCAACCCTTCATTTTGCAGGACAATGCCCAACCCAC